TATGTGTGTGTGTGTGTGTGTGTGTGTGTGTGTGTGTGTGTGTGTGTGTGTGTGTATATACATATATATATGTATGTATATATATGTGTGTGTATAAGTATGTATATATGTGTGTATATATATATGTATATATGAATATATCTCCCAAAAGAATATATGCCCAAGGCTTGGTCGCTGGGCTATGGTGCTATTGCAAGGGTTGGAACCTTTAAAAGATGGAGTCTCACTGAGGAAGTTAGATCATGGGAGAGATCCTGGAAAGGATATTCGTGCCTATGTCCTTCTTTACTCAACCCTTTTGCTTCCTGGCTATCATGAAGTGAGTGGCATCCTTGGCCACACATTCCTGTAATGATACTGCCTTATCACAGCCCACAAGCAATGGGGCCAAGTGACCCTGGACTGAAATCTCTAGAACTGCAAGCCAAAATAAGCTTTTCCTTTGAGTTGATTCTCCTAGGTATTTTGTCACAGTGAGTGAAAGCCGATTAGCACAGCTACTAACTACCTGTATTCCTCCTGCTTTCTCCGTTTCAGAATAGAACTGTCCGTTCTGTGCCTGTCCCACTGCTGTATTTTGGAAGCAGAAAACTTTTTTCTTTCTTTTCTTTTTTTTTTCGGTCTTTTTGAGACAGGGTCTTTCTGTAACCCCAGCTGTCCTGGAAACTTTGTTCCATATTGAGGTGCAACACAGAAGTCTCATTCATGTCTAATTTAGATGATGCCTGCATGAGTTGATGCTAGAGTTTTGGATGGAGGGCTGGCAAGGTGTCACAGCAGGTAAAGGTACTTGTCACCAAGCCCGATGATCTGAGTTTAGTCCCCAGAACCCACATGGGGGAAGACAGAACTGACTGCCACAAGTTGTTCTCTGACCTTCACATGCGTGCCCTTACCATCATTGTTGTTATTTTTAACAATAAATGTTTTTAAAAATGTTTTAAAACTATTAAAAAATATTTTTTGGAGAGAATGGAGATATTTTGTACTTGAGATGATCCTGAATTTTAGAGGTTCTCGGGGTGGTAGAATTACTACTGAAAAATTATGTTGAATGCCTCACTACCTGTGAATGTGACCTTATTGAAAGTAGATTCTTTGCAGATGTGGCCAAGGTATGACCAGATTATGCTAGGTTAGGGAAAACCATAATCCAGTGAACAGTTGGCATCCCTTTCAGATGAGGGACATTTGGGCATAGCAGACACAGGGGAGGGGAGCACATTGAAGGTGGCAGTAGACATAAAATTGACATGTCCACAAGGCAAGGTAATTGCCACAAACACCAAAGAAGAGGGTGAGGAGAGAGGCAAAGAGCAGGTTCTGTCTGCTTCAGAATCTCCACAAGGAGTCTGTCCCACTAATTTGAATAGGGGCTTGCAGCCTCTGGATCTGTAAGGGAAATGATGACACCCAGTTTTCAGCAGTTTGTTATGGCAGGCCTCCAAACTAATACATTAGCTCTGCATATTCTTTTAGTGCAGTAACTGATTAAAGAAATGTGTTTCAACATTTAAGAGTTTCTCATAAGCTTAATTCTTTTGTTCTTTGCTATTGTTAATATTCTTATGCGATATACTAAATAAGCTTCTTCCTTTTTTTTTTTTTAATTGCTGAACGTGCTAGGCAAGAGACCTGCCAATGAGCCCTCCCCCTAGCCTGGCATTTATATATTTAGTTTGTTTGGAGGAACTACTATTTGCTCAGTATATTAATATTGGAAAATTCAAGTATTTACTTTTCTGCAGCAATGATAGTTACTAAATATCCGTAGCACAATAGTAATTTTCTTCCGTTACTTCACTTCTGTAATGTCTGTCAAAGTTATTTTTTAAGAGTGACATTCTTCCTGAAACCTCAAAGTAAATTTATACAAATTCATAATTTTCCATTAAAATTTAAATTATAAGAAATTTTAAATGTGGATTATTTTAGGAAAAGCATCATTGTCTGTATTTCAAATATTCTTTATTTCAGTTAGTAAAATCTCACAAAGTTGTGTTATGTAATTAGACTAAATTTAAATATAAATTCATATATTTCATATTAAAGTGAACTCCACCTTTGAAATTTAGAATTTAAAAGTATTATTGGGTATGATAAATGTATTACTATTTGGTGAAAAAAGACAGTACTGTAACAAAGAGAATTTATAAAGGAAAAATTTAATATTATTTCCCCAAATCACTCATATCCACAGCATCCTAGCATAATAATTTCTATCTTCCTTTCTTACAAATATATTCATGAGGTACTTAGTTATTATGATTAATAATTATATGCCATTCCTATTGTTCGTTAACTAGCCCATCTTAAAATAGCATGCAACTGCCTAAGAATGTTTTAAAATACCAAAAATTCGTCACATTGTTTTCTAAAGGAAGATTGTGGCTACACAAATTCTTGAAGCCTTCTTTGAAGGCTTACCTACCCTTCAAACAATTAGGTTACTTTACTTTTTAAAAAATATTTTATTATTTTATGTGTATGAGTATATTGCCTGCGTGTATGTGAGTGCACCCATGTCATGCAATGCTGCAGAGGTTGGAAGAGGGCTTCAGATTCCCCTGCAACTGGAGTTAAGGACGGTTCATAGCTGCCATGTGGGTGGTGGGAATTGAACCCGGGTCCTCTTCAAGGACAGTCAGTGCTCTTAAACCTCTGAGCCATCTCTCCAGCCCCTACTTTACTTTTTTTTCTGTTCTGTTTTCTTAGCACATAAATGCACATCATGCTTATGAATCTCAGATCTCATCAATGGCAAAAGCCATGTCTCAGTTAGAAGAAGAGCTGAGACACCATGAAGAGGAGAAAACAGCAGTGTTGAATGACCTGTCATCCGTCCGAGAACTTTGCATTAAGCTTGATTCAGGCAAAGATGTTATGACCCAACAGATGAATTCCAAAAGCCTTGAGCTGGAAAGAGTAAGTGCTGAGAGAAATTGTTTGGGTACATTGTTTCGTGGAGCCTTTCTCTAATTAACTTTACCATTCTCTACTCATGTGCTCCCTGTTAGTTGCTTCTGACTGCTTCTTAAAAAAATTTTTTTAATTGAATTTTTGTGTATTTCATACAGAAAATCATCTTTATACCCTCTTCCCCTTCCCCCTTTGGCACCCTCCAATAGCCCCCCCACTGGAGTTCATACATTCTGTCATTTGTCTTAAGGCCTATTATGTAGTATCCCCAGATGTCCTTCAGTGCAAGTTCATCTACCAGGGTTTAGTCAGCCTATCTAGAGTCTCTCTCTTCAAGAAGATCAGCTCTTCCTTACCCAGCAATAATCAGCTGCCAATAATTCTTCAACTAAGATTGGGGCTTGCTGTTAGTTCTGTGCTGGGTTTTTGTCTGCCTAAGTTTGCATGGGTCGTGTGCATGATGATACCATTGCTGTAGGTTTGTGTGACAAAGGTTCCAGGTGCCTGTAGGACCATTTCTATATGGTCATGCACCCCCTCCCTATCTCTTACAATCTTTCTGCCCCCTCTTCCACAATGGTCCCTGAGCCCTGGGTGAGTAGACCTCGATATAGGAGTCCTGTCCAAGGACCCACACTGCAGACTTATTCTCTGCGTTTTGGCTATTTGTGGCCTTTTGTGTTCCTGGTCCTCTGTTCCATGAGGGATTATCATTGCTGAGAATTGAAAGATGAATTAGTGTTCTCTTCATCCCTTATTCTATGTTCATTGAGTCTTAGGTATAGAGGTTGCATCCTAGATGTGCCTCTTAAGCGTGAGCAATTCATGGAGAGTCTCTGTGTATAAGCAGAGGTGTAACTCTGTGATAATCTCTGTGTGTTGAAAAAGAGGCTACTTTGATGGATATGACTGGGATACTTTGTCAATTTAAGGATCCATATTTTTCACATAGTAAGAAATTACATTTGTCTAGGGATATGAGAGCCTTGGTGTTTTCTCTAAGATCTATGACTGGAGAGGTAGTTCAGTGGTTAAGAGCACTGGCTGCTCTTGCAGATGACCTGGGTTCAGTTCCCAGTAGGTACATGGCAGCTAATAACTATCCGTAACTCCAATCCAGGAGAATCTGATTCCCTCTTTTGACTTCCATTGGCATTGCATGACATGGGTACCCTTATGTAATTGTAGGCAAAACACTCATATACATAAAATAAAAATAAATAAAAAAAAATAGTTTGAAGTCTTTAACCAGTACTCAAAATGAACCAACTGATAAGTCAATAGCTATTATAGTGTAAGAGAAATAATTTTTCAGAGTAAGCCTAAATTAATCTTCATTTTCTCTAGGCGGTAGCAGAATTAGAAAATGTAAAATCAGAATCAGAGCTGTTAAAGAAACAACTGTCAAGTGAGAGACAGACGATTAAAAATCTTGAGTCCTTGTTGGCTACAAACAGAGATAAAGAATTTCATTCTCATTTAACCTCCCATGAGAAGGATACAGAAATTCAGCTACTTAAGGAGAAGTTAACCCTTTCAGAAAGCAAATTGTAAGTATTGCAAAGCAACCTATTTGAGGAAAATAACTTGGTGAAGTGTTTTTTTCCACTTTCGGGGTGTGGGCTGGATAGGACTGTGATGGGTAGCACAAAACTATGGTATTTGACTTTTGCTTGCTGCTTCTGGAAACTCAGAGCAGTCACTCAGGAGAGAGATGGTGTTTGGAGTTGTAGATATTTACAACTCCATCTCTGAGGTGCTATGCAAGTAGGCAAGATTGAGCTTTGGAAAAGCACCTACATTTAGGGAATGAGCAGTGGGTCAGTGAGGGAAAGCATTTCAGGGTGGGATGTGTGATAGATGGGGAAAGGCTTAGACTGAGATGTGATCCTTCTGAGTACTTGTTTTAACCTTTGGGGAGATTGGTTGTCGTCATTTTAGCATGGAGAGAGGTTCAACACTTTTGTTGGAAGAAGAGAGGAGCCTAGACTCGAGGATATAAGTTGAAAAATGAGCTTTGTAAAGGAGTTAAGGGGTTGAGAACAGTTCTCTTTCTGAGGCAAGAGTCAAGGAAGAACCAGTAAAGATTTTACATCTTGTTTTTATAGTTCATATGTTCAAATTTGCATCTCCAGTACAGCTGCAGTGCCTGGCATGTGCTATAAGCTACATAACTGACCAGATGAATGAGAAAGAAGCTCAGAATGTTAGATTTACTGCTGAAAGCCTTCATCTTCTTTCTCATTCTTGAGCATCACCTCCATTTGTATTTGCATTTGATTCTACAAAATAGAACATTCATTATTTCTGTGACTTTTAAATTTGTTTTTAAGAACTAGCCAAAGCCGGGAAACCTCCATGCTTCGAACTAAAGTGACACAATTGCAGACAGATTATGATAATCTGAAAAGACAGATTTCAGCTGAAAGATATGAACGGTAAGGCTTTTTTTTTTTTTTTAGCATTTGAACAGTATTTCTATATATTCTCTATCCTATTCCAAAAAGTACTTAATATGGCTTGCAAATAACAAGCTTTTTAAGCATTAACATGTAAAATAAGTTTCTTTGGTAATTCTTCCATAAAGCAGGGAATTTTGTGAAAGACAGACTCCCTGGAGTATAAAAAAACACCTGCTATGTAAATGTTTCATATAACATTATTCAGAATGACAATAGGGCATTATTTCAGAAGGTACAAACAGGGAAACAGTTTCTATGAGACAGAGACCAGTATGGTCCAATTAGAAGGTATGAGTTATCTTAAAGGTAATGATGGTGATCGCTGTCTTAAAAACAGTTAACAGATTTGCACTGGGCACACATATGTGTCTGAATGACCCTATCAAAAGTCTCTTGTTATGCCTACATCACAGGATCCTGAAGTCTCATAATTATAAATGACAGAGCCACAATTAAAACCCAATCATGTCTATTCAGTCCTCAAGCCTATGCTTATACCCTCTACAATATATTCCTTATTCCTTACCCATTTTTATACTTGTATTTCAGTTCATTTGCTTTATGATAAAAAGTTTACAAGTATTACAGACATAAAACTTGCTTTAAGAATGAAATTCAGGGACTGGTGAGATAGCTCAGTGGTTAACAACACTGTTCTTGCAGAAGACCAGGTTCGAATCCCAGCACCCACATGGCAGCTAACAACTGTCTGTAATTCCAGTTCCAGGGGATCCAGCAGCCTCGTCTGTCCTCCACAGGCATTGCAGGACATGGGTACACTTACATACATGTAGGCAATACATGCATACACATAAAATAAAAATAACAAATAAAAAATATTTTTTAAAAAAGAATGAAAATCGAGCCAGATAAGGTGTGTACATGTATGTGGCCCAAAATCTCTCTGGGTCTCCTGCGCGATCTGACAAACCACCCCAGGGCTCGCGGCTTCTCCAGCTCAGCTCACAGCTTCCCTTCCAAGATGGCTCTCCATAGTCCACACTCTGTGGCAGGCCCTGCCCATTGGAGGAACTAGCCAATTGGGAGACAATCTGTAATCCCAGCATTTAGGAGGCTGAGGCAGAAGGATCATGAGTTAAAGGACACCCTAAAAGGAAATGAATTAAAATCAAAGTCAAGTTTACAAATCATTTCTTCTATCCCTCTTCCTTGCCATATTAATACTGTAGACACCCTGAGATTTTATTCTCTAGTAGTGCTAATATAGTTACCGGATTATCCTTTAAAATAATGTTTTTATTCTTATCTGTTACGTCAAAGCTTGAGTGATATGCTTTATGAAGTATAGAGAGTATTTTATATGAGGTCAGTCTTTGTGGTTTTAAAGAGAAAGAAGCTTTATCTTGCAGCAATGATAGGAAATTGAGATTGAAATTCAGATGCCATAGTACTAAACTGTACATATACAATGATTTCTCTTTCTTAATGATAACTAAACTTTTCTGCAATTCCAGGATCCTCAGTCAAGCTCTTTATAGCTCAGAATTACAGATGTACCCCTTTCTCCTTACCCGTGTCCCTCAAAGAAACTCTGAGCCTCATGACCATGCCTTTCCTGCTCTTTACCATCCAATTAAGTTATGCATTCTCATAGAGGCAATGTAAGCCCACCTGCAAGGAGACAAAAATCCGTTCTTGTGGGTGGGATGAGGTAGCAAAAGAAAAACCAAAATCATAGTATCATAGTTATTACAATGCTTTATGGCCCTCAAAAGGACCACAGTACATTAATAGTGTACTGTGTGTTCAAACTTTTTGCTGTGGTGAGATTAGAGAGAAAAATTCTTAAAGCATTTCTTTAGGGAGTAGTAATGAAAAGAAAGGGTTTGAGAAGCTGAACTAGGAAGAAAATCTGGATACAGAATTAAGTCAAGAAAAGGCCTCGGCCAGAAACAGAGTGGCCTGCAAAGGAGATGCTGCATGATCGCTGTGCCTGGTGGCAACAGACTCCGACATAGGGAAGGACCAGGAGACAATGGAGGTGGGCATTTGGGAGATTTGAGGCATAGAGAAGGCTCTGTTTGTGTACAGTAAGAACTGAGAAAGGAAGGGGCAGAGGAGGGCACTATCTAACTTGGAAGCTCTGTACTCAAAAGGACAGGCATGGACCTAGGACTTACTGAAAATTAGTGAAGTACAAATGGTACAGGATTGCTCCCTGTGTAGAAGTTTAAATGACTGCCTCTGAGTTGATGAGGGGGTCAGTGTTGTGTGCCTCAACACAGAAAGTAGGTAGCCATGTAAGAGAGACCCAGTAGGCTAGAAATGAATATGATTTAGAGTTCCAGTCTTTCTATATTCAACTTACTGTAAGATAAGAAGAACCTTCTGTTATGCAGTATGCCTCTTCATATGGTCTAAATGCTATTGTTTCCATTATAGGCCAAGCAATGCCACACACTAAGAACACCAGTTAGATAAGGTACTCAACTGAATAATGGACTCTCAGAGGATTCATTATAATAAGGAAGGTGTGGTGTCATGTATATAAATACTTAAAAAGTGTGCATCAGGCTGGAGAGATGGCTCAGCAGTTAAGAACACTGACTGTTCTTGCAGAAGACCTGGGTTTGAATCCCAGCACCCACATGGCAGCTAACAACTGTCTGTAACTCCAGTTCCAGGGTTCAAATCCCAGCACCCATATGGCAGCTAACAACTGTCTGTAACTCCAGTTCCAGGGGATCTGACAGCCTCTTCTGTCCTCTGCAGGCATTGCACGACATGGGTGCACTTACTTACATGCAGGCATAACACTCATACACATAAAATAAAAATAATTTGGGTCGGGTGTGGTGGCGCACGCGTTTAATCTCAGCACTTGGGAGGCAGAGGCAGGTGGGTCTCTGTGAGTTCGAGGCCAGCCTGATCTACATAGTGAGTTCCAGGCCAGCTGGGGTTACAGGGAGACCCTGTCTTAAAAAAAAAAAAAAAAAGACTAACAACAACAACAAAAAGTTTAAAAATAAATAAAAATAATTTTTAAAAAAGTGTGCATCATGCATGATGGTGCACACCGGTAATCCTTGCATTCAGTAGGCAGAGGACTGTGAGCTTGACGCCAGCCTGCCTTAAATGACTAGACCCCATCTCCAAAAGCAGATAAATAAATAAAGTGTATAACTGCAGGTCGAGGTGAAATGTATTTTATTGACACATGGGAGGATTGAACTTCCTCTTGCCTGGAATCAGTAAGCAAAGGTTAGTTTAGGGTATGTTAGGTACCCATGACCTGTCTAAGAGAAACTTCTCTGAAAATCGGAGAACATGGGACAGAACTGAAGGGACAGAACTCAGGAGAGTCACTGGCCCATCAAACCATAGGAGAAGAGAGTATAAACCTAGTCCTGGAGAACCTAAGGGATGTATGGGCAGGAGCAAAGGATCTTATGAAAGAATCAAGAAATGGTTGTGTAGGTGGGAGGAGAACCAGGAAATGGGAAGGCCAGGGAAGCCTTGAGTGCTTAACTGTGGCAGTGCCATAGAAGGCGTGAAGAAGGTAAGGAAGCCGCCTGCTAACGGGCGTTCAGTTTAAAGAACACTTTAAAAAGCACAAAACATGAGGAAAATCTCCCAGAGTCATTATTAGCATTTTCAGTCTGACATCTAGTTGCGTGTTAGTTTTAGTTTTGGTTTGGTTTCATTTTTTTGAGACAGCATCTTAACTAGCCCAGCTTTAAACTTTCTATACAGCCAAGGCTGGCCTCCTTATTCTTCTGCCTCCACCTCCCAAGTGCTGGGATTACAGTCATGTACCACCATGCCTGGCTTATTATGTATTTGTGTGTTGGTCTGAATGTATACTTGGTATCCTACCTTTTTTTTACTAAATATTATGAGCATTTTGGTTTGTTTCGGTTTGATTTTGTTGTTGTTGTTGTTGTTTTTTTGTTTGTTTTTTGTTTTTGACAGGGTCTCCCTAGTCCCAGGCTACCTGGAAGTCATAATGTGGGCTAGGGTGGCCTCGATCTCTCTGAGATCCACCTGCTCTGCCTCCCAACGGCTGGGATTAAAAGTGCGTGCCACATTGCCAGGCAGAGGCAGGCAGATCTCTGTGAGTACAAGGCCAGCCTGGTCTACATAGTGAGTTCCAGGACAGCTGGACCAACAGGGAGACCCTGTCTCAAAAAGACCAAAAAAAGTGCGCGCCAATGGCATGCATTTTGTTTTTACAATGTTATTTTGATATTCCGACATGGTTGTAGTATAATTGGTTTGAACTTTCTTCTAATGCATATTTTTTAATTGAAATATTTTATTTTATTCATGACTTAAAAAAATCCTATAAAGATAGACTTTAAATTTACTAAAAGTACTGAGTCCAGGCCAGAGTCTGTATGCACTTGTAGACCTGGCTGCTTGGGAAGACTGATGCAGGAGGATCACTTATACCCATGAGTTCAGGAGAGCCTGGGTAACACAGTGAGGTCCTGTTTTATAAACCAAGCAAACTACAGTAAAATGTGGTAGAAATGCTAATTAAATACTAATTAATAGATATAATTTAATTGACTAATAACCCCAAAGCCACCTTTTGGGTTGTCACTGTGCTTGCATTTGATCTTTCCTGTGATCTTCAACAGAGAGCGAGCAATCCAAGAGCTGCGCCGGCATGGTCTTCCAAACCCATCCCTGAGTTCTTCTCTCAAGTCTCCTTTACAGTCTCCTGAACATATGAATGCATAGTTATCAGAAAGGTATGTACGGGATACCAGGGATGGGTAAAACCAATATATGGTCATAAAATGTAGAAAGTTATTTTCCGTGTCAAGGGAGGAAGTGTTCTGTGTTTTGGTGGTAGCAATTATGTGGCTTTATGCAATTGCAAAACCTCATCAAACTGAACATTTGGGATCCATGCATTTCCTATGTGTCAGTTATAACTAAACAAAAGGAAGGGCTAGGAATGTAGGTCTGTGGAGGAACATTTGCCTTGCATGCAAGGGCCCTTGGGTTCAGTTTATTCTTAGCATGAGGTGGGAGAGAAGGAGAGGAAGGAGAAAGGGAGGGAGGAAGGGAGAGAAGGAGGGAGAGCGGGAGGGAGGGAAGAACCAGTCATAGCAAATCACTAAAAAACATGAGATTCACAGGATGATATTTGATCAAGTCTGAACCTAATCTAAAAATAATAGTTGATGAAAGTGGAGAAAGGCATACAAACAGGAATGTATGTGGCACAGTGGACAGTTAGGCAGGAATGGCAGGTTGTAGGGAATAATGTGGGAGACGGCATGGTTAGAGTATACAAAGAGTAGAACAAGAAGTTACATTGCAGGTGTAGACTTTTCTCTGAACCTGGAGAGGAGCCATTGAGGTTCCTCCTGGCTGTAGGATGGCTACAAAGAAGGGGGTTCTAGATGAAAGAATTGTTTTTTGTGGATTAACCTTACAGCTGTATTTGAGACATCTTGGGAAAGTAGAGACCAGAGGTAGAGAGACCTTTGTAAGAGGTTTGAAATGAATTGTCTAAGTTCAAAAACTTGTGCTTCCAACTATAGGAAGTACAGACAAGAAGATTAGAAGTTCAGGGTCATCCTCAGCTACATAGTGAATTTGAGGCCAGCCTAGGCTACATGAGCCCCCATCTCAAACAAACAGACAAACGAACAAGAAAAAGGTACCATATCATAGATGTATAGCTTCATGGGTTTTCTGGCTGAACACGTGTTGGACACATCAAACTGAAGAAGCAGAATGTATTTGAAAATATTATATGTTTGAGACATCATGCTCTCAAAGCAACTCTTTACTATTAAAAGTATAGACTCTTTTTTTGTTGTTGTTTTTGGACATTTTATCAGTGAAATTGTACATTTCTCACTTCTGTTTTTCAATGGTGTATTTGTGAGACCTAGTCACACTGTTGTGGGTGCTTGTGGATGGTTATTGTTGTGCGTAATGGAATATCCCATATAACCTTACATAATCACTCGACACGAGACAAGCATTTGGTAGTATCTAACATGGGTTGATTGGAATAGTACTCCCTGTAAGTACTTTGAATTGAAATCACTGAGGTCACTGTGTTTGCATATATCCAGGCTTTAGTAGATGGAGTGGAAGTATCTTCCCAGGTAGTAGTGGCTTAAGGTGCATTTTACTGAACAGGAGTTGAAGAAATGTACTGATTCCTTGGAGATAGGAAGGAAGCCCAAGTCAGACTCGGGGCTTGACAGATAGTGGCTGTGAGAATGCAGACTCACTGATAGAACTAGTTGAGTCAGTCTTTTTGAAATGACACATTTCTTTGCCTCTTTTAATAGAAGTGCTGGGCGCAGGAGATAATCAGCATTTCCTCAGTGACTCAGTCTTCATTATGAACAATAGTTGTATGCTGTGCTTTAACATACTGAGGCCTGGGGTTTGTTGGGCCTAGGTTTAAATGATTCCTGAAAGGCTAGCGTTTGCCTTAATGTTTGTATTATTAAAACATTTATTTTCCTCTTTCACCTTGAAGACTCCTTAGGGTTCACTGCAGCTACTGTGTCCTCACATCATGCAAGGTGCTGTGCTACTTTGAATGTGATTAGGTGGCAGTTCACCATCTTGTAAAGCCTTGGAACAAGATCACATTTTCTCATGCTTGATTTCCAGACACAGTTTAGATCAATGGTTGACTAAGTAGATCTGTGGGCCAAGGCTAGCCCACTGCCTCTTTATGTAAAATTAAGCTTTGTCAGAGCACCACCATAATCTGCATAGTGTCCAAAACACCCACTTTACACAAGCAGAGTTGAGAGGCTGTAACGAACCCTGTGGCCTGCACATCTAAAGCATCTACTGCCTCACATCGGGTGGCCTCTGAAACTCAACTGTAACCCATGGGAAAGAAAAAAAGGTGAAAAGACAAATGAAAACGCTCAGGGACTCCTGGACTGTACTTTAAGAGCCAGTGATAGCAGGGCTGGGGATTAGCATAGTGATAGAGTGCTTGCCACGCATGAACATGACCCTCAGTTTGATCCCCAGCATCACAAAGTACAGTGTGCACATGTGTGTGTAAGAACCACTGATGCAGAACTTGGGTTCCTGCATCCCTAAGGCTGTCATGAATTCAACTTTTAATTGCAGTAAAACATATGAACTTCACCGTCTTTTCTGTTTTCTGAGTGTGACTCAGTGGTAGTGACTACCTTCACGTGCTGTGCTTTTACTACTCTGCTTTAAGACCTTTTCATCACCTCAAATTCTGAATGCTTTAAACACCAGCCCCTTACTTCCTGCCTCCACCTTCCAAGCCCCTGATAACCTCCAACTTACTTTTCCATCCCTATGAATTGGCTGAGTCTAGACCTTCATGTTAGTGAAATCGTACTTAGGTGCCAGGTTTATTTTGTTTATGATGTTTCAGAATCCATCCATGTTGTAGGATTTACCACATTAGCAAAACCCTTTTTATCAACTGAGGACACTGGGCTGTTTCCCTCTTACACTATTGTAAGTGATGGTGCTATGAACATTGATGTGGTAGTGTCCATTTTAGTCCCTATTTTCACATCTTTTGAAAATACCTAGGAAATGAATTGGTAGGTCACATGATAATTCTATTGAATGGTGTGTGTGTGTGTGTGTGTGTGTGTGTGTGTGTGTGTGTACGTACAGGTGTGTTCCCTGTGTGAGAACATGTGGAGGAGTCAGAGGCTAATGTTAGATGCCTTCCTCTATTGCTCAGCACCTTATTTTTTCAGACAGTCTCTCATTGAACCTGGAGCTAGCCATTTTAGTTAGAATGGTTGTCCAGCAGCCCCCAGGATCCATGTCTCCCTCTCTTCCAGTTCTGGCATTGCTTACAGGTACCGAGCTCTTACCTAGGTGCTAGAGAGCTGAACTCAGGCCTTCAGGCTTGCAGAGCAAGACTTAACCCACTAAACCATCTCCCCAGACCATGCTCCACATAGCTACACTATCTTCTATCTCCCTTAGCACTACATTGAGGGGGATTCTCCGCATCCGCGCTGACAATTTGTTTTCCATATTCAGAGTTATAACCATCCTAGTCTATGTGGATTATAAAACATTTACAACCATTAACAAATAAACAACTTTTAATTTTGTAATTATTTACAATTAATTTTGAAATTCTAATGTGATTATTAACTAGTTAATGATGTTTTTGTTGATATTTTCTATGTAATGTCACCAAAACCAGTTTTAAAGGATTTCTCCAGTAAGACTCAGAAATGAATTACAAACTCATGAAGTCGTTTTTCAGATTAACATTAAAATATATAACCAAATTTTTGTTTTTGTTTTTTTTTTTTGTTCTTTTTGAGACAGGGTCTCCCTGTAGCCCCAGCTGTCCTGGAACTCACTATGTAGACCAGGCTGGCCTTGAACTCACAGAGATCCACCTGCCTCTGCCTCCCGAGTGCTGGGATTAAAGGCATGCGCCACTAGGCCCAGCTGTTCTAATTTTTCACTAACCTGTTTTTCTTACTGTCATACTCTTTGGTGTTTGTTTGTTTGTTTGAGACAAGGCCTCTCTGTAATCCCAGCTGGCCTTGATTTCACAGAGATTCACCTACCTCTGCCTCCATAGCACTGGGATGAAAGGTGAGCACCACCAGGACTAGCTTACTGTCACACTCTTATCACAATGCTTCTGACACTAGATTTCTCCATCACACACCAACTAGGTGGCCTACTTTACCCAAAGACGATGTCAGATCTCATTGTTAAGGGGGTGGGTCACACAAAACCCCTTCCCCAACTACAGTCCCATGTTGTGACCTGCACTTTTGACCCACCTGCTGGGAAGCCTAGGTGCCCACAAGTTTCCCCTCCCCAGATTTGATTTAATTTGCCAGAGGGGCTCACAGAGTTTAGGGAAACACTTTACTTACCTGTTTATTATAAAGGATTCAGTTGCATAGCCAGATGGAAGCACAAGGTATGAGCTTCTGTGCCTTCTCCAGGCACAACTCTAGGTACCTGCACGTATTCAACCCTCATCCACATGGGCCTTTACAGATGCTTCATTACATGGTGTAACTAACTGATTAAACCATTAACATGGATGATAGACCTGACCCTTCAGCCCCTATCTTCCACCCGCCACCCTCATTTCCTGGAGAGCAGCCCCTCCCCGAAGCCCAGCACTAAATCTCGTTAGCATACAGAAGGCACTCTAACCACTCAAGAGCTTTCTGGAGCTTTGCATCAGGAATAGGGACTGGAAACCAAGTTTGTGTTTCTTCCTGGATTACTAGTCTCACACATGCTCAGTGAGGGAACCTGTGAATAGGGAAAACAAGATCAGGTTTTTATTTTCAAGTGTGGAATCATGCTTCTTTAAGAGAAAGAACAGTGCTTAAGTATAACAGGATCAGACTTCTGGGACAGAAGTTTTTATTAGCGACTGTAATTGAATTTAAAACACTATTGGATTACAGTTTTGATGAATATGTTGACTATCTTTTCTTTTTACCCACTTTTCCCCTCTCCACTTTTCAGAAAAATGATTTTTCCATGAGTTCCTCCGTGGATTTTTAAAGAACACAAGAGTAATGAAATATTTGAAATACTTCTTCCTGCAAATCATGAACATTGACACAAATTCTACCTCTGTCAACGTTTATTTAAATCAGTGAATATGTAAATATATTTAGTTTAAAAGTGCTCCACATGTATATTTCCATGTATATGATGAACTAAATATGTATTAATAGTGATTGACTGATGTGATATTTGTTTTTTTAATATTCCTGACTAAAATTACTCCTTGAAATGTGTTTATACTGTGAATTCACAAAATATGATCACATTATGTTTTAATAATCTGTTTCTTAATGAGCCATAATATATACATGTAAATACCCTTCCAGTACTTAACTGTGTTTGGTTTTCATACCTTTGTTTATGACCCATACCTTAATGTATTTGCAAAGAACGATCAACTCTGATGCTTTGCTGTCATACTTTTTCTTCTCAGTGTAAAATTAATCACAGATTTGCTCTCTTATCAAGGTGAATATATTTAAAACTAGTCTTAATAGCAGAGCTCTTGATAAACTATCATCATGTGTACTTAAGTATTACCAACTAGGTGAGAAAGATGCATTTGTCTCTGATTCGCACTATTGTATTATTTTGGCCGTCACACACCAGCTTTTTGCATGCTATATTTTATTAGAATGAAGCTAAAATATATTCAGTTTTGTAAAACTATAGATACAACAGAAATTTGAGACTTTTTTCAATAATTCTTCAGTGTATTAGTGTAAGATTTCAGAATGTAAAAATAAATGAGGTAAATATTTTTGTTAAAATTACAACACGAGGGTCTGGAGCAATGGCTCACCGGTTAAGAACACTGGCTGTTCTTGCAGAAGATCCGGGTTCGAATCTCAGCACCCACATGGCAGCTAACAACTGTCCATAACTCCAGTTCCAAGGGATCCTACAGCCTCTTCTGACCTCTGCGGGCATTGCACGACATGGGTGCACTTACCTACATGCAGGCAATACACACATACACGTAAAAATAATAAAATATTTTTTAAAAAAATTACAACATGCATCTGATAATACCTATTTTTGGCTTTTAATCTTGTATAACTTGCTAGTCTTTCAGAATAGTAGTAACCCTGTCCCTGTGGCATCTAAATAAAAAAATGGCCTTTTACAATTCGGTTTCAAGGTTGCAGTTATAAAGGACTTAGGCGTATGTACACATTAAGAAAAGAAGTATAAAACAATGTCATATACAAATAGCGATCATGTTTAAACTGTTCACAGTCAAAGAAAACCCTATTTTATTAGATTTCATTATGATTGAAAAGCACTTAAAAACTAGCACAGATGAATGGAAGACCAAGTACTTACAATATATTTTGTTCCTTCTTGTCTTAGTAAAATGGGGTTTGTGTATGCACATGCCTGGAGGTGGGTAGTGCTCTATTCCTTTCCCTGCAGTGCCTTGTATGCTCAGGATATGCCCTTTACAATGATTGGTTCATATCTGGATACGATGGTTTACTTTCCCACCATCTTTGTAATTTCATGTATCCCATTTCCTTTGAGTGAATTCATGTATTACAGCAAAGTACAAGAAAAATGTACTTTGCAGTGTCATTTGGAAAACCTTTTAATAAATACACGTAAATAAAAATATTTGGTCCCACCTTTTCTCCCAAGGCATCAGCAAGACATTTGTTAGGTAGTTCTTTTTCCTTTTTTGATTTTTTTTAAACAAGGTCTCCCTGTAGCCCCAGGTGGTCTGGAACTTGCTGAGTAGATCAGGTGGGTCTTCATCTCACACAGATTCACCTGCTTCTGCCTCCCAAGTGCTGGTACTAAAGGTGTGTGCCACCATACCAGGAGATATTTCATTTTTAATGTTTTCTATAACTATAAATGTATAGCTTTCATGATTGTTATTTTGTAACCATACTACTACAGATTTTTAATAGTTTTATTTTAAAATACAGAATGGTCTACCTTTATATAAATATTTCCAGTTTTGTCTTAAATAATCTTAAATTACGGATCTTGGCCATATATTTACCAGTAAACATGCTAGTCCATTTTTTTTTCTTTCTTACAAATTGTTAATGACAGTTCTCCAGCAGCCTGCAGAACACCTTCCTGGATTATGAAAGTCATCCAGAAGGTTGGAAGTTTCCAGCTCAGTCCAGCCTCAGGGGCTTGTCTAGCAAACAACTAGGGTGGTAACCCACACGTGATACTGGTGTGCTCATATAATAGCCTTCTAGGACCACCTTTATCCACACATGCATGGTACCTCCATTCAAACTTTTTTTTTCTGAAGAAACATTTCATTACAGCTTTAACATACTCATTAACGGTTTCCAGAGCAAAGATACGTCTCTTTCAAAAGTGGCTATAAAATTTTTAGGTTCGCTGTTGAACTAATACAGTTATACAATATTGAACTCAGAATAAGCCCTGTAAGACATGAAACTGAATGAGTTTTCAACATTTATAAAAGATCTCCATTGGCCGGGCATGGTGGCGCACGCCTTTAGTCCCAGCACTCAGTAGGCAGAGGGAGGCAGATCTCTGTGAGTTCAAGGCCAGCCTGGTCTACATAGTGAGTACCAGGACAGCTGGGGCTACAAGGAGACCCTGTCTCAAAAAGACCCCCCCAAATAAACCCCAAAAATCAAGGTCTCCATTTCATTTTAAAATACACTGTTTCTTACAGAAAGACTCATTGTTTTTGCTCATAACACTGAGATGTTGGCACATGCACCTCTAATCTGTATGTATCTGATTATTACTAGTCATAATCAGTTGCACTCGGATCCTTGGCACTTGTGTATGTCTATTGGGTAGCGTTCAATGGTAATGTTCATCACCTCTACTAATTAACATGATGTAAATTTTTATGCTTCCTCCTCAAATATAATTCATTTTTAAAAATTTGATTTTTTTTGTGTGTATCTCACATAGAACATCCCAAACCATCTTATTCAACTGTATACCTACTTCCCATATGGCACCCTCCCATAGCCTCCCTCTCCCCTCTAGATTCCTTATGCTCTGTTATCCCTGCTACTGTCCACTGTGATGTCGTCACCCCCAGCCATTCCCCACTTCTTGCCCTTCTGGTGAATCTAGTCAGCCTATCTAGAGGTCTTTGTTTTATGAAGGTTAGCTGTTCCTCATCTAGCAGGAATCAGTGTCAATACTCCTTTAGATAAGATTGGGGTCTGCTGTTCATTTTCCCAATTCTATGCTGGGTTACTATCTGGGAGTCCCTTGGGCTACCCTGGCCAATAAACTCAAAAGAAGGTGTCTCCTATCTGGCATTGTTGCTTGTTATCTACCCTTCAGCTAGATACATATAGTATCATAGTCCATACATATGGACTCC